CACCTCTCTCATGAACATGAACCCCAGTTCTGGTCTCCCAAGAGGCCATGAAACTGCAGAAAGGTCCACCAGGTTCCCACTTTCTCTTGCCCCCTTTCTGATTGGCTTCCAACTGAGAGGGAGGGACTGTAGGTCCATTAACCCATCCATCCAATATTCATAAAGTATGTGCCAGGTACTGTGGCAGATGAAATAGATTGCCAGAATCTTTTGTTGTCCCTTTAGGATTTCTAAATGGGATTCGTGTGAGTTCATCCAGTGCTTGTCTGTCTCTTTTTTCTTAGAAACCTCTTTTAGTTGAGCTCAGAATTTAGAGGACGAAAATGAATATTTAGATCTGTGATTCAGCAAATTACTTCGGTTCTTTGTGATCTTTTTTGGCTCTAGGTCAGGTTCAGAGCCATCTCTTAGTTTTATTTAACGTGGCCATTTGTGTTCTGTTCTTCCAGATTTGCCTCTCTGATTAAATTTTAACCAGATAGACGGTAAAATGAATTTGCCCTCCCTAGTTGCTCTCAGGAGGGGAAGGGGCTTATATAATAAAACTGTGGTGGGGAGAAGGGATGGCAGCTGGTGGTAAGTAAAATGAATCATGCATACATAAATAATAGAGAACAGACCACCCTGAAGCTGAGAGGCTCCCACTGCATTTTTTCAAAATATGCATGTGTTATAGGGAGAGTACATTTTTGCAAGAACCCCTGAAATAACATTCAGCTTTCTGTAAGATATTTATCTCCTGAGGCCCCAGGGTTGCCAGCAGTGAGGTGGAAACTTGCATGGGGCAATCTTCTCTCTTTATAGCTTAGTTTGATATTCTGGACTGTAATAATAAAATATATTATGCATCATTTTTATCTTAATGCTTATTTTTTGTGTACTGCGTATTTTTTTCCAAGTTTCTACAGTGAATGGGCACTCCTTTAATAATCAGAAAACCAAAACCCATGATAAGTGGAATTTACAAATAGTATTTATAACCTAGATATTATGGTGGGCACAAATGAAATATTTTGTGTGGATGTATAATTCTGTTGTCAGGCAGGATTGCAGGCAGCAGACCTTTGGAACTTGGAACCTGGTGCAAACAAACCACACTACCTCCTCCTCTAGAGGACTCCCTGGTATTATGTTACATCGGTTTCTGCTCTCCACAACTTGTCTGCCTCCCGTCATAGGGTTCCATTGGGTGAGGCAGTGGCCCATTGTTTCTCTAAGTCTGCAGTGCAAGACAAAGAAGGCTGGACAAATATTTGTTCAATTTTTGCTTAATGAATTGAAACTGAATTGAAGATGGGCACCTGCTCCCAGCTGCTCCTGGTCTAGGCAGGGATTGATTGTGTGAAATGGCAGCAAATGGCAGCTGCCTAGCAGAATATTCATAACTTGGGTGAGCCTGGGACTGTTTTTATAGGTTGCACGGGTTCAGCTTTCACTGAATTTTGATAGTTTCCCTGGAGGCCAAAATGTGTGTGGAAAGGACAAAGGAATAGGCTGAGAAAAGAAGCTGAGACCAAGGTTGTGAGCTGATGGCACTGCACGTTTTCATTTCTACTCTGTTTTATGGTTGTCGATGGGTATCACTTGTTCCTCTATCAGATGAATAATGATGGTGACAGTTCCTATTTTGTAGGAACCAATGTGCCACGCACTGTGCTATGGGCTTGTAGTACTAAGGACTCTCTTGCTTGCCAGTGACAGAAAAAAAACCCAATTCTAATTTGTTTGGGGGAAGTAGGGGATTTATTGAACAATGTACTTGACAAATCCAGGTCCTGGTTTCAGGCATGACAGAAAGCCACCTGTCATTCAATTCTGCCTCCCTCTGTGTCAGCTAAGTTTCTGGCACAGCCTTCCTAGGTGCTGGCTAGATGACCACTGACAGCTTCAGGCTGATGACATCAATAACCACAGAGGAAAGAGGTTTAATGGGGATAGTAGTCTTGGGATGCTTCCCTATATATATATATATATATATATATATATTTTTTTTTTTTTCCCCCATAGGAGCCTTTCCTTTTTCTTTCCTTATAGACCCTTCTTCCTTGTGGCTCAGCCATGAGGTGTTATTGTCCTAGAAGCAGGGCAGCGTGGATACCACTCTGAACCTAAGGTCCATAGGGACGAGGAGGGGGATACCTCCTCCAGAATGGAAGGTAGCATAGAAGCCCTCAGGGAAATGGCAATGTGAGCAAAGAGACTGGAGAGGATAGGTCTAGGGAAGAGTATGATGCCCAGTTCCCTGAGGGGCCCGAAGCCACCTCTGTGCCATGTCTTGGCCTAGGAAGGGGTAGAGTACAACAGAAATCCCAGCAGGTTGAGAAGAAAGCTGAAAGCGAAGAGAGCCAGTGCCCACTTCCTGTTTGGAACTCTGCCCCAGAATGCCCTGTGCCAACACGGGAGGGCTGCAACAAAGTGAAGTGGTTGTGTGACATATTTAATGGGAAATGGCTCCAGAAGACGCCCGAGTCACCCTCAGTCCTCCTGTGACAGAGAAAGCACCCAGAAGCACCCACATGTTCCCTGTGGGGGGTGAGAAGGTAGCTGAAAGAGAGAGGAAACCAACTTCCCACAGTGGCTGGGAGAACAGGATGGACAGGTGACCGACTCCTGGCAATCGGAGTCAGGCCCAGGGCCCGTTGGTATGGCTGGCAAAAAGAAGTTATTTCTCTGCCGGACTTGCGGCTGTGAGGTTGTGAGCCTCGGGCTGCTGGGGTCTCCTTGTGGAAAGAAGCAAAGCTGACTGATGGAGAGTCTCTGGAGTCTTTAGTCTCTGGAAATAAGTCCAGACACGAGGCAGAAGTGCCCTGGGCTTTTCATTCGCTTAAGTCAACCAAAGTCTTTCTTTGTTTAAGCAAGTGAGAATTGCATTATCTGTCATTGACAGCAGAAAGGGCTCTAACCCAAGTAAGGTATAGAGAGGCAGGCCAGCAAAGAGGTGGAGCCTGGAATCAATGGGAGGACAGTCAGAAGGAGGAGCCTGTAGACCAAAGAAGAAGTGTTAGGTGGAACGAACGGGTGGGCTGAGAGCCAGAGGAGAGTGAGAAGGCACAGCGAAAAGATTTTGTGGTGAGCAGTACACGCTCCCGGGTTCATGACTGGGAGGGGTTGTGTCAGTCAGGGCAGGAAGGAGCTCAGGACAGCAGGGCATCACGGACTAGGGTGAGAAGAATGCCTTCTGGGGAGGAAGGCATCCTAAGTGGCTAGGGGAATGGAAAGGTGCGACCACACAGGGAGATGGGGTTGAGAGCTTGGAACAGAAGACTTTGGTGCAGGAAGTGGTGATGTGATATAGGAAGTTCTAAGCAGAAAACCAGAGAGCAGGCAGAAACATGGGTAAGATATCTGGGTGTACTGTGGATTTAGGAGCCCTCAATACACGAGTGAAAGAGGAGGCGAAGTGATGAGCTCCTCCAGAAAGTGCATCTCAAAAGTAAATAGTTAAACAGCAGTGTCTATTTTGCTCAAGGCCAGTTATGCTAGGGCACACAGGGGTCATTGACACCAAAAGCCTGAGAGTCACAGTTGGTGAGATCATCACCCACAGAGAAATCGTGTAGAAATTCCCTCCAGCTGGAAGCCAACATTGGAAGAAATGACCCCACGAATGCATTATCACAGCAAGTTCAACCGCATGCCTTGAGGCTAACAGCGCGTTACAGATCAGTTTCAAGTAGCTCGCTCCTAGGAAGCCACGGGGTCGGGAGAGGGTGAGAGAGAGGCCTTGCGGGACGCCTGCAGGCCATCCTGAGACCCAGCAGCCGCAGGTCTAGAGTTGACCTACAGGGCCGGATGTGGTCGGTGCCGGAAGAGAAACGTGAGGAAGGCTGAACGAGTTGGGGGCATGGTGGCGAGAACCGTGGGTTTGGGTCCACGCGTCAGCAGTGACCCGGCGGTGGAGGATCCCAAACACGCGTGCCCAACCCAGCACCGGGATTGGGGCGGTGCCTAGCCAGGCACAAGGCCCAAAAGCACCCACACTAGGACCCGGGGCGAGTCTGTGTACCCCGGGCTAGGCGTGCGTCCGCGTAGTCTGATCCCAAGTCCGGCTTTGTGAGGCGCGCGGCGACTCTGTGTGCATGTGGCTGCGGTCCCAGTACACTCACGGTACCCGTGACCGTGGCTTAGGCACGCCGGAAGCTTGGTGGACTGGCCTGTCTCTGGGGGCTCTTTGGCCCTCCAGGGTCAGCATCCTCTCCGCAACCCCTTCCGCGCGCTTCTCCCTGCCGGGGCCGCCCCGCATCGGCGTCTCCGGGGCGGAGCTCGAGGGCGCCCGGCGCGGGGCGGGCCGAGCCCGGCGTGGGGCGGGGCCAGCAGGGGGCGCTGCGGCATGCTGTGCTGCCCCGAGGTCGGTGCACGCAGCCCTCGCCTCCCCCCGCAAAGGGCTGAGCAGGCGGCGAGCGCCGAACCGGGCGCGCAGCGGCGGAGCCGGGGCCGGAGCCGGGCCGGGACCATGGACGGTGAGTGGGAATGGTCCGGGGCCCGGCTGATTGTCTTTTGGGCTGAGCGGCGCGGAGGCTCGAAGCGGACAGGCGTCCCAGGGTTGAGAGCCCGAGGGGATCCTCGGGACGCGCCCAGGCCGGGACGACGGGACTGAGTCTCCGGTGGGAGAGAGGGGCTGGGCGGGCTTCAGAGCACCGGGTCTGAACCCCCCGACTGAGCCTCCTCCTCCATTCCCGCTCCTTCCCCAAACCCCAGCCCCCGACTCGCTGTTTCTCCCCCAGGCCACCCCGGCCTCCGCCCCGCCGCCCCTGTCTCCAAGCCTCAGCACCCTCTAACTCTGCCGAGGATTGCGGCGCCCTCTCCCGCGCCCTCGCCCCCACTCCCTCAAACCCGCTGCCTCGGGCTTCTCCACCTCCAGCCCCGCTCCCCTCCGGCCCCGCCTTCCTCCACCGCGTCCCCGCCCCTCCAACCAGCTCCCGCCCGGCGCCCGCGCTCCTGCGCCTAATTCCAGCCCCAGCTGGACCTCCCAGGATCCCGGTTCCCGCGGCGCTTCGAACCTGCTGGTCTCCAGGTGAGAAGGCGGCGGCAACTTCTCCGCGGCCTTTCTCGGGGGTGAGGCTGGCACCCCCTCAGCCGCCTGCGCCCGGCGCCTGCGGGAGTCCCGGGGCCCCGCCGAGGGACCGCTCCGCGAGCGGGCTGGCGTGCCTGGGTGCTAAGGTTGGGGCTGCGTGCTCCAGATCCCACGGCCTTGCTTTTGCTCGTCTGGAGCGATCTAATAAAGAAGCCGGCTTTGTCACACACCAGAAATGGAATTGGCTTAGAGCAGGTTGCTTTCTTTGTGGCAGCAGCGGTCTTTCAAGTTGTACCTGTGGATGGTTCAAGGATTAGCGGTGCAGGAGGACGTGGAGCCATATTTTCCCGCTTCGCTGGGCGTTCGGAGGCTGCAAAGGAGTCCCCCCGGGGAGCGAGGCTCTCACCGCCTGAGTGGCCAGTGCCTTCGTGGGAAGGCAAGGATTCTTTGTAGGCTTTCAAAAAGTAAAATCAGGAGAGATGTGAAATTAGATCGGTGCAAATGGGGAAGCGTGGGGTGGATGGCCAAGGGGGCCTCAAGAGGGCTTCATAACTTGGGGACATTTGTTACCTATGATGCGGAGGGCCCCCGGTGAACCCGAGTATAGAGCAGACCATGCCCAGCCTAGGCTTACAAACGTGACGTGACTGCAAACGGAGCTTGGCAACAGTTCCTTCTCCTTGGAGGTGTTGGTGCTCAGCCTGGACATCTGTGGGAAGAGAGTTCAAAGCAGATGGTTTGAAAAGCCTCGTGTTCCCTAGAGAGGGGTGGAGATGCACTGGTTACAGCCTGAAAAGCCAGTGCCTGAATCTGCCCGCATCCCTTCTCCTGGCTTTCCTTAAGTCTTGTTTTAAATTAATTGCGTATTTCAGAGAAAGGACACATAGGGGATACTTCTCTTTCAGGAATTAACTCCTGGCCAGTCCACCCTCACTAATGCTTGGGAGGCTGCTGTGGGGCACCAGGGACAGGATGGGTCACTGGGTCTCTGAAGCCTAAGGCTCTGAGCATTTGTGAAACTTGCAGCATCCATAAGTTGTTGTTGTTATTGTTGTTGTTTTTCTATTGATTGGCCTGAATAGTAATTAGCTCAATATTCTTTCAGCATTGAAGAGTGAATTAATGAGTAATTAGCCCAAGGTCACACTGGGGCTCGGTAGGCTCCCTCTAAGTGCCCACAAATTGCTGAGGGCACCTTCTTAGTCCTCATCATGCTGTTCAGTGGCGAGTTGTTGACTGTCAGATGCCCCACTAGCCAGGAATGCCTTCAGCGGGGAACCATCTCTGTCAGCACGCAGCCTGGCACCCTCTAAGTGATAGGTACTCAGTGTTTTCTCTAGTAAACAAAATGGATCCCCCTCTTGAATCTAGGCTGAGTCCATAACTCTTGTTTTTCCATTGTGCTGTATTGTTTTCAAAATATTGTCCTTAAATTCATCAATTTTTTAAAAAATGCATCCTGTCGCTGGAGACAGACTCCTTTTTGTGTTTATTTGGGAACGAGAGCACTCGGTTTATGGGTCAGGCTCTGATAGCTGGGTCTCTAACCTCAGTGGGGACTCCAGAATTTCCGTGAAGGAAATCAGCTGTCCTCAGCCTAGAATTGGGGTGAGGGGGTGATGGGCACTCTGGGGAGCTAAGGCTGTTTGCTGAGGGGTGAGGCCCTCGCAGCTTAACCTGTAGGGCCCTGAGTTGTGACTGAAGCTCCCCCCGCCGCATCTCTCATCCATGTCTATAATGGGAAGGAGCACTCAGGGAGACCAAGCAGTGCTTGAAGAGCCCTGCCGGCCGCTTCAGATTGCACCATCTTTAGTCTAGTGGGTACTGTTCACCCCAACTTTCCCGTGGAGAGCTGGGAGCAGTGCTTCTTATAGGTTTCTGGCAATGTGGTTTGTGGCTCTGTTGGGGCTGGTGGTTTAGGATGGGGTTTCTGTTTGTTGGAGGTGGCTGTTACCCACCGACAGGTCAGCAAAGTCCAGCTCTTCTTCCTCTGTCAAAGGCCGGCCCTGAAGAATACGACCAGAGGCGGAGGGGGTGGGAATGCCCCGTGCCACCTTTTTTCAGGAATCCCGCAAGGCTGCCATTCAGAATGTTACTTGGATGTGGGAACCGGCACTGCCCACGGGTTAAGGGTTGTCATGGGCTTATCTTTCTTCCCCAGACTGTCTCAGTCTCCAAGTCTGGCTCCTACCCAGAATTCCTGCCGCTGAAGATGAAAAATCTGTTTTCTAGAGGAGGTTTAATTAATGCCTGCAGTTTGTGAGTGAGACAGGGAGGGAGGGAGAGAGAGGGCGGTGGTGCCTACTCTCAAGGTGGGTAAGAAGAAGGATGGGAGAATATCCAGGGTTCTGGAAAAACAGCAGGGGTAGACTTCAGCCCCAGGGCATTGCCTTGGGACAGGGCTTTTGGTTGGTGGATAAGGATGTATGCCCACATTCTGGGATAGGGGTTACCAGTAGCAGCAGAGTCACTGAGATAGGAAAAATAGCTCACAGTAGCCTGAAATACGATTTGTTGGGCTCACTGTTCACCTTTCTAGAAAGCCTTGAAGGACAGCTGAGAGCTGGACTTAGCACAGTGAGAGTGCAGAGCTATTTTAAGTTTTTGAATGAGGGTTGCGCTGGGCCCCTTTGGAAATGGCTTGAGTGACATTAAGCTGGGGTTGGCCCTGGGGAGTCACCTCACACCTGCGATGCTGAGGGAGAGAGCCCAAGAGAGTGGCAAAGGAGAAGCAGCTGGCAGAGTCCGTGTGCTGCACTTAGGGGTAAAGAAGAGGCAACAGCTGCTTTCTGGTAGGATGGTGGGCCTTTTGACAGAAGCAGCCTTCCAGGGACCTTTTTTTTAAATGTTTTTATTTTATTTTTGAAGGAGCATGTGCGCGTGCAGGGAAGGGCGGGGGGTGGCTGGGACCAGAGGATCCCAAGCAAGCTCTGCACTGACAGCTTTGGCGCTGACTGCAGTAAGCCCAGTGTGGGGCTCAAACTCATGAACCTCAAGATCATGACCTGAGCCAAAGATGGCCCCTCAACTGACTGAGCCACCCAGGCACCCCCCCCCCCCAGGCACCCTTCTTGAACCTGCTGGGCAGCCTGGCAGATGGAACAGGGCCTGCTGAAGCCGCCCCCCCCCCCACACCAACCTGCAGATCCTGGAAGGCAGCCACGCACGAGGAGGCACCTGTGAACCGGGAATGAATTGCGGAGTCTGCTCTGAGTTCCAAAGGCAGGAGGGTCAGGATTATTTAACTGGACCACAGACTCCAGCCTGCTAGCCTCCACCCCCAGAAGGCTGCTGTGAAGGTTCTTGGGCCTTGGTTAGGGAAACCCCGGGCTTCTGGAAGGTTACAGTTCAATCAGTAATGAAGAGAGGAGCAGTCCCAGGAGCATGGATGTAGATAAGTGATTGAAAAGGCCTTGAAAAACTTGGAGGGGCCTTGAGGAGTAGTTCCTGCAGCCAGGGGTAGCCTTCAGTGTGTGCTCTGGGCTGGGTCATCCATGCACCTGCCCTCCCTTCCTTTGTCCCTCCCTCCTCCTCTCCTTGCCCAGTCTCATCCTTCTGTACTGCAAACCTCGGGGAGCTGCCTCTGTGCTGGTACCCTGGGGTAGAAGAGAATCGGGGTGACTCAAACATCTAGTAGTAGCAACTAGGAACTTTAAAATTCTGTTTATGTTTGCCCACTTGCCTCCCCAACTTATACATTGATGTTTCTCTATTATGGGGCATCCTTTTGTCATGTGCTTACCACTCTGGGCCTCTGTGTGTAACCGACTTCCTCAGAGAGAGCTGTAATCAATAGCACGGAAACCAGAGCTTTAAAAAACAAACTAAGATGAAAATTATTGCACCTAGTTTTGACACCCCCTTCCCCTCCTCTCTGCTTGTTTGTGGTTAGAGTCATAATTTACACCAAATTTACAAATAGTTTGAATACTATTTGTCCTACCACTCAATTAGTAGGAGACCTGTGTCTTTCCCACTAACAAAACCATAGCTTACTTTCCTAGAACTACCTCATTCTTGGATCCCGTACCAAACTTTAGGCCTTCAGAGATACAGCCATATCATTTTGAGCTTTTAAACTATAAAATAAACTATAAAATAAAATGAAGCTCTTGCTTGCTAATTTTGTCATCTAATATGGGAGAATCTGAAGTTAGAATAAAACATGTTACTGCCTTGTTAACTCTTTATGCTTCTAAAACGAAAGAAGCAGTTGGATTAAGGTGGAAGAACGTTATTATGGTAGAAATGTCTGGAAACTCAAAAATAATAAAGGAGGGACACAGTCTTACAGAAATAAACTGTTAAATTTTAAACATTGTTACTAAAATGTGCAGAGGTATAAATAGGAATTTCTATAGAAGTATAAGCAAGTATAGAATTTTAATGAGTATAGATAAGTATAGAAACTTTAGTCAGTCATTTTGTTGAAATATGTAATTAAATATTTAATATTATGATCATACATTATTATGCTTATGCAGTACCTTATCATATAAAAAAATTTTTTTATGTTTATTCATTTTTGAAAGGGAGACAGAACACAAGTGGGGGTGGGGCACAGAATCGGAAGCAGGCTCCAGCCTCTGAGCTGTCAGCACAGAGCCCGACGCGGGGCTCGAACTCCTGCACCGCGAGATCATGACCTGAGCCGATGTCAGATGCTCAACTGACTGAGCCACCCAGGTGCCCCAGTACCTTACCATATAAATAGGCAACTGAGCCTGTGATCTTAAGTCCTTCCAGCAAGTCTGGGATCTTAGAGATGAGGAAACGGGACCACAGGGTGTTTCAAAAGGCTTCTCCTAGAATGTAGAACTCTTGAGAAGAGAAATATGTAAACTTAGGTATTCCTGCTACAGTTGCTTGGTAACCAAATGTGACTACATAGTTATTTGAAAATTACAGGTAGTCTCCTGCTTAGGGGTAAAAGTGGGTATTGGCTTTCTTTAAAATGTTCTGCTGGGGCGCCTGGGTGGCGCAGTCGGTTAAGCGTCCGACTTCAGCCAGGTCACGGTCTCGCGGTCCGTGAGTTCGAGCCCCACGTCGGGCTCTGGGCTGATGGCTCAGAGCCTGGAGCCTGTTTCCAATTCTGTGTCTCCCTCTCTCTCTGCTCCTCCCCCATTCATGCTCTGTCTCTCTCTGTCCCAAAAATAAATAAACGTTGAAAAAAAAATTTAAAAAAATAAAAAAATAATAAAATGTTCTGCAGGTCAAACAGACACAACCAGCATGTGATCAGCACCACCAGAAACCTCCTGGAAGGATTTCTCAGGGTTTGTGGACGTAAGAGGTTCTCTGCTGATGACTTCCCAGTACTAGAGTACCTGAAGACCTGTGTATTCAGCATAGTACAGTAGTGAAGAGTATAGACTCTGAAGCCATTCTGGCTTGGAATCCTGGATCTGTCATTACTAGTCTTGTACACTTGGACAAGTTACTTAACTACTGTGTGCCTCAGTTTCTTCATTTGTAAAATTGAGATGATGATAAAAATTGAGATGCTATTATTGGGAGGCTAAAATGAGTTCGTACATGACGAGGACTTGGAACGGTGCCTAGCACATGATATGCTTTAAAAATGTTTGGGGCGCCTGGGTGGCGCAGTCGGTTAAGCGTCCGACTTCAGCCA